GAGAGGGAGAGCGAGAGAGAGGGAGAGCGAGCGAGAGAGGGAGAGCGAGAGAGAGGGAGAGCGAGCGAGAGAGGGAGAGCGAGAGAGAGGGAGAGCGAGAGCGCGCCACGTTAAGCAACCCTGCAGTGTGGTGTTTGATCTGGTCTCTCTGCATGTTGGGCATTTTAGGGAAATGTGGCGGGAGCACTCTTAATAGGATTGCAGGGGGAACATGGCATGGGAAAAAGAGGTGATGAGCTGCTTCTCCAGCCCTGAAGGAAACACGGGAGGGCTCTTGTAGAGGGAGTTGCTGCTGGGATGAGCCAGACAAAGCAACTTGTTTATTTTCATATCAAGAGGTCAGATCCTTTTTGATAAAAAAGGGATGAAAATGCGGTGTTTGACCTGGCTGCTAGCATTTTCTTTCGTGTGGGTGTAAATGAATGCAGAGCTTGCTTTATAATAAATTAATCTTGAACATATCGAAGCAGGGGCTTTTAAGCTTTGGTTGCCCTAATTCCTCTTTCTGCTTTGATTTCTTTCCTGATCTTGCAACAAATGCAACATTGCCAGCCTGAGAACCACTGGCGAAAGGCCGGCAGTAGCATAATTAGTTCTGAACTCATGAAGGTTGAGGTCTTTCATGGTTGATGGTTGGCAGTGGGAGAAAGCAGGGCACTTGTGCTGACAGCCCTGGCCAATTTTTCCCACCACTTGCCGGGGCAGGTGGAAGGTGGCGGCGGTGGCATCCCTCAGGTCTGGGGAGGCCCACAGGAGTTGCGGTTCAGCAGTGGAGGGTGGCAGCTGGGTCAGCCGGAAGGAGATAAATGAGACTGAGGACCTCTCCCCATGGCGAAGAATCACAGAATGGAGACTCGGAAGGGGCCATGAAGGGCATCGGGTCCACCCCCTGCTGGAGCAGGACACCAGGTCGCACCGCCCCACGCAGAGGGCTGCCTGGTTTCTTTGGGAATCCCGCCTGTGGACTGATGTCCTGGAGAGGCCCTTTTGGTTATGTCGTCACCTAATAAAGCCCAGACTTTGGACTTGCAGCGGGACCTTCTTGAGGGCGGCCCCCCAGCTGTGCAATGCTCTCTCCCAGGAGGCCAGGCTGACGCCAACGGAGAGGCGAGAACCGTCTTTTCACTGGCCTTTTGGTTAGCTGAGAGGGCCGACACATGACCACGAGAGACGCATGGTCTATATGACAGGTCTGATTACAGCTGGGTGCTCGTTTCTCCATTTTTGTTGTTTTCTATGGTGCTGATAGATTTGTTACCATGGATTACCCTGGGATCCTTTAATTGAGGCAGAAAGACAGGGAATCGGTGTTGTTGATGAGTGTACAGCTCAGTTCCCTTAATCCCCGCTTGAAGCCAGGGAATCCTCTAAACTAATTATGCATTGTGTGACATACATGAAGAGTGCCGAGTGAGCAATCGGGGGGGGGCGGGGGCTTCCCACTTGGCCACACCACTGCGCCCTCCCTGCAGCACAGCGGCCAGGAACGAGCAGGGCAGGCGCCTTTCTCGGGGGCCCCGCTGCGGACGAGCAGACGGGGGGCCCTCATCTGCTGGAAGGGAAGGCCAAGAGGAGATGGCAGCCAGATGGGGGCGTGCCCGGGGTGCTACCCTGTCGCTCTCTTCCCTCTCAGGTGGTTGCCATAGTGATGGATACGTTCACTGACGTGGACCTTCTGGGCGAGGTGCTGGACGCGGCTGCACGCAGGGTCCCCGTGTACATCCTGCTGGACGAGATGAACGCCCAGCTCTTCCTGGACGCGGCCTCCAAGTGCAGGGTGAACCTCAACCTTGTGGAAGTGAGTGCGGCACGGAGGCCCCAGGCATGGAGTTGACGGCTGCTCCCTTGGGGGGCTCCTGAGCTGAAGATCCCCCAGGCTGCAGGCACCCTCTTCTTTGCCCGTTTCTGGGCAGCTGGGAGGTGTGAGCCCCCATCCACCGGCTGCTCAGGCCTTCTGACCTGGCCTTTGCGTGTGCCTCTCCCCCCAGCACCTGGCTGCTCTTTCTGGAGGGGGGGGCGCAGCTCAGTGGTCCTGTGCCTGCTTCACTCACGGAAGGTCCAGGCTCAGCTACACCATCCCAGGCAGGCCTGGAAGACATCCTTGCCTGATGCCACAGGAAGCCCACCCCGAAAGCAGACCATTGTGAGCTAGGCGGGCCCTGCAGGGCCGGGCTGGCGTCTGGCAGCTGCGGCGCATTCTGTTTCCTGCCTGTACATCAGGCCCTGCAGGCACAGAATTTTCCAGAACTGGGCAGTGTCCCATCCAACGGACACACCGGATTTTCAGCCCAGTGAAGTCCGCGTTACCGGGCACTGTGTTCAGTAAGGTGTACGCCTGGGCATCAGATGGTGGGTTCTGGGTGCAAATACGCTGAGCGGGGGTTCTCAGTTCTTGAGAGGATGCTTGACAGACACACGAGAGAACAGAGCAGAGCAGTGAGTTAAGGGGGAAGCAAGGCAGTTGCAGAAACATCCCCTTTGGTTCCCTCCGCCCCTGGTCCCCAGGCTGATGTGCCAGCCTATGGAAAGTCTAGGTCTCCTTCGTAATTCCAGAGCAACCTACCCACTGTCCCTCAGCTGTTACCCAAAATCACAACAAAATACTTCCTCAAGCCATTTGCTTTAAACTCACCCCACTCTGTTCCCCCCCACCCACCCACCCACCAGAGATCCCTTTGCCGGCCCCTCTCAGCCGGACTTGTGCTGCATGCAGACAAGACAACCCCTTTTTGATCTCCAGGCCCTTTTCCAATGTGTGGCTGATCCAGCTTTCTGTACAAAACGAAAAACTAGTCTAGCTTGGGTTAGGGGTGGACTCCTGGACTTTCTGGGGACTGGCAGGGCACAGGTGGGCAGAGCGAGGCACAAACGCAGAGAGCAGGGTGCAGGGAGAGAAGGCCCCTGCAGCTGGTGCTTTGGAAGGAAAGATGGTGGCGGGTGGGTGGCCAGTTGAAGAGGGAGGGACCACGGCTTGCTCTTGGGATGCACTGCCCGCTCTCTGTTGCCTTGCCTTGCAGTTCCTGCGGGTGCGGACGGTTTCTGGTCCCACCTACTTCTGCCGCACAGGAATGTCCTTCAAGGGGCACGTGAAGGAGACGTTCCTGCTGGTGGACTGCATGGTGGTGCTGAGTGGCAGCTACAGGTGAGCGGAGAAGGCCAGCGGAAGGGGACGGTGGGCTCGCACCCTCTGTTTCCACAGCTTGCCCAGGGCACTATCTGGGCTGTTGGTATAGGGCTGGGAAGGAGAAGGGGGGTTCCCACCCACCAGAGGACACGGCCCTTACGAGGTGGGCCACTGTGAGCACATTTCTCCCCTGCTTTTCCTTTCCAGCAGATCAAAATGAAAGCGGATAAAATACAGACCTTTACTCGAGCTTAACAGAATTTGTTGTGATAGAGGATTTCTATGAGAGCTCTTACAAAGTTACATAAGTCGAAGTTTGACTTGATTGTTGTTCCTCCAATCTGCAGGAGTAGTTTCTGACTATGTGAAGAACTGCCTCCAAACCGGAACAGCCCCTCCTCCCTTCCTTTCCTCAGACTCTTGACCCTCCCCTTAGCATGGTCTTGCTGCTTGGAGGCCACATGGCAGGAATGCCTGATACTGTGTAATTGCCCTGCCTGTCTGGACAGGTGCCACCTGGCTGGGCCTAGGAATTCCCTCCCTCCCTCCCTCATTCTGCAGTGTCTCCGCCTGTGCCCAAGACAGGGTGGTTTTCAGTTGCTACCTGATTAATCTTGCTTGCCAGCCTTGACTGTTCAGAGTCACCTGCCAGCTGTTCCTCCTCTACCCTGTTTATTTCACATCCTGAATCCGAACTGTCTGGCTCAGAAGGATGTACTGGAAGAAAGTCGGGCTGCATCTCCACATTGACCACGGGAGGGAAAGGGTGGCTTCTCCCTCATTCTAGCCGAGAGGTTAAGGTCAGGAAGCTGAGCAAAGCACCCGCCATCTTTTGAAGAGAGTGGGAGGATGCAGCCTCTGTGGTTCAGCAATTTCTGACCAGGAGGGGTGCGCCCGGGTGGGTGGTGGAGCAGACTGGGGGCTGTTCCCTTTGCTGCTCCTGATTCCTTTGCCTTGCGACAAGGCTCTTTGGTCCATCAGGCAAACTTCCACAGGGAATTGCCCCGTTCAGAAGCCAGGAGAGATCCACCTGTAGGGTGACCTTCTGCGCTTCATGTGCTTGGAGAGATGGCGTGGCCTCTTGTGACAGTAACACATCCGTCTCTCTTCTGCTTTCCTGCAGCTTTATGTGGTCCTTTGAGAAGATCCATCGGAGCATTGCTCACATCTTCCAGGGAGAGCTGGTGACCAGCTTTGATGAAGAGTTCCGCATCCTCTTTGCACAGTCGGACCCACTGGTTCCTCCGGCCAATGTTTTGATGAAGGCAGAGATGCCCATGGGGCCCTTCGGCATGATGCCGTTTAGCAACAACATGCCCTTCTTTCCAAAGAAGCCACACCTGATGTTCCCTCGGGAAGATGACATTCTCTCGCCTTTCATGGGCAGAGTTGACCCAGACAGAAACTTCCTGTCCTCTTTTAGAAGAGATGACATGCTGCGCCACACCCTGGAGGGCTCAGCCATGCGAATGTATTCCAAGAGGATGGAAATGGAGACCTCTCAGGTGGATCCTGTCCGGGGCTATCTCCGCTCCAAGCAGCTAGAAATGGACTCATTTAAAAGACACAGCTTCGCAGAAGGAACCTTTGAGAACTTTGCATCTTCAAAACAGTTTTCCAGGCAGATGTTTATGAACAATTTAGAAGACTTTAAAATCCAGTCTAGCCAGTTTCAGAAGGACCAGTTTTATCAGTATCAGTTTGAAAACCCATACGGCGCCAACAGGCCCCAAGGTCTCTTTGAAAGGATACGAGGAGGCCGACTAGGCTTCAATGAACTAGAGGATTATACAGATGGTTTCAGGGGCCCAGAACTGGAACCCAATTTACCCCAAGAGGGCTATCCCCTGCGACTGGACTACGTGCCTTCCAATTCCTCCAAAGAAGTCCGGCATGGATCTGATCAAGTGAATCCAGGAGGGAATGGTCTCTTTGGGCTGGCTTCCCTCCGAAGGCAAAACATGGGGCAGAAGTTCATGTGCCAGACGTCCCCCACACAGAAGCAGAGCTTGGAGCAAAGGATGTTTCTGCGTGACCAAGGCCAAGACACTGACCAAGACAAGAAAGTGCAGGAGAACCGGGCGGGCTTGCGCAACTGGAGGATCAACTCATACCTGAGTGGGTACCAGTCCGAACCTGGAGAGGAAGGCCTCCCGGTGCCAATGGAGTCGGAGGCCTGTAATGAGGTGTTTAATTTTGCAGAGCTCCCCACCAGGTACCCCGGTGAGCTCCTCACTCCTTTCAAACCCCCCCTTCCATTTGCAGGCACCAAAGAAATGGCCGATGAGCCACCAGTGGCGAAGCCAGATGCCTTCAGGAGCAGGATAAATCCCTTGATCCAGAGGAGCTCACGACTCAGGTCTTCCCTTATTTTTAGTGCTGCCAAATTAGACCAACAAAACACATCAGCAGAGAAAATCCAGATGGTCCAAAAAGAACAGACATCCAGTGAAATGACAAAAGACAATGAAACAACGAAGACCACCACTTCCTCCAAAGTAGCAGAGTTGCTGGAGAAATACAAGGCTGTGGGCAAAGACTCAGAAAGTACTGCTGTCAGTCACACGAAAGCCATGTCGGCTTTCCTCCAAGAGGAATCCCAGAATGCCGAAAAGAGGTGCACTAAGTCCGTGCAGTACAAAATTCTGGAGAGCAGGATCCTGGACTCCAAAGATACCTTTAGTAACTATAAGGCGCACCCAGAGTCGGAGGGACCATGCGGTGGCCCTGCCTCAGCCAGCCAGCTTGCGGACTCATTCGGCAGAGACCCCCTAACACAAGGTAGCAGTAGAATGGACAAGTCTTCTCGCTTCTGTCCAGCAGACAACAAGCCCGGCCCTCTGGAGAAAGAGAGCATCATATTTGTTGGAGAAACGCAGAAACTCGCTGCGCCAGAAAAGGAGCAAATGGCTTACAAAGATGATGCGCACACTCCGTCCGTAACTGAATTCAAGAAACCAGCACAAGGGCAAATGGGCCCCACCTCAGCACTCCAAGAACCCCCCAAGAACCTTGGCTCCGACAGCAGTCTCCACAAACCAGAGGATGGCAGTAAGCAGGAACAAAGTCCCAGGGAGTTTTTTAGGAAGGGATCCCTCAGACTAAAGCAGTTGTTGAGTGCCAAAGGGGAGAGGAAGCCTGAGGAAGAAACAGTTACTGAGGGCTCAAAGCCAGACAGGAATATTGGTGGCCTCAAGAGGCTGTCCAAGGGTGATTTCCAAGAGATGATCGAGGAGGAGAAGTCGCCCAAGCCAACGTCGCCAGCAGCTGCCCTCCGGCTGAATCCAGCACCTCCGGCTCGCTTCCCTTCCTCGACGGCCAACGTCCTGTACAGCAGCAACCTCCGTGATGACACAAAGGTCATTCTGGAGCAGATTTCTGCCAACAGTCAGAAGAACCGAGCTGAGCTGGCCAGGCAGCTACCAGTTGCCAGCAACCCGGAGCTGTCCAGGTCCGCCACCAGCCTGGATCACAGGGACGAAGAAAAAAGCACAGGGATTAACAGATCGGAGAGTTTTGGCAGCCATCATAAGCGGAACCCCCAGAGAGACCCTTCCGAGGACAGGGACTCCCTTCTGAAAAGGATGGAGAGCATGAGGAAGGAAAAGCGTGTCTACAGCCGGTTTGAGGTCTTTTGCAAGAAGGATGAGCAGGAGGAGGAGGAATGTGATGCAGATGCCAAAGACAAGAAGATGGGGAAGTTCATGCCCAAGTTCCTGGGCACCTTCAAAACCAAAAAGTGACCGTAAAGCTGCCACACACACCGCCTGCCTGGCCAGAGCGGCTCTGTCTGGGACAAACACTCGTGGGGGGTTCTGGTGGCCAGACAGCTGCATTTACTCAACCATCCCAACTGCTGAATAGACAGGACTGAGCTGGGCTAGTGGCAGGGAAAATGCTGGCTACCCGAAGCAAGGCTGAGCGGCCGTCTTCACTTGGTCGGCTTGCTTGAGGGAAAACCAGTCAACGCCAAGTCCCGCAACCAGCTATCGGTGCCATCCAGCCTTCCCTCCTCCCACCCTTCCTGTGTGCCTGCAGGTGAACAATCAGCTCGGCCTACCTGGGAGGGCCCTCCAGGCCTGGCAGAGCTGCTGTCAGGGTCAGTGCGGCTTCCTTGGCCAGGATAACTGCTCTGCCTCGCTGCCAGGTGCACCCTCGCCTTGGCCGATCAGCAGCAGCAGCAGCAGCAGCAGCCATATTGGAGGAGCCTCCTGCACTGGGCTGACCCCCTGTTCTGATAGAGCCGCCCCACTGGGGCTGCTGATTCTGTGTGTGCAGATGGAGCAGCTGGGATGAGGGGTGCCCCACGTCAGGATCAGTCGAGCAGGGCACTGCTGCCGCCCATGTGCCCTTCAATGAGCACCGGGGGGGGGGGGGCGCTCCCTGGGCCAGAGAACAGCCACGCTCCGCACCGTAAGAGCAGGGAAAGGACAGGGATGTCTGGAACAGCCTGCCCCTGCACAAGCATCATTGCCAGACTCCCCCTGCCATCCCACCTACTTCTGCTTGGCTCCGGCCTGGTTGTCGTGGGGATGGGCAAGCTCTGCCTAGGCTGTAGTGGGGACCCACTCAAAGAGCGACCATTTCTCCAGATGCAAATCTGCCTTCCACATAGAAAGCTCAATCTCAGAGAGAAGGGGACTGGTTATCCTTCTGTCTGACATGCAGACTTTCTGTGTGCAGTAGCTCTTTCTCGGCAGACAAAGTGAGCTTGCCCATTCTGTGCTGAAGCAGTGCAGCCCAGGCCCAGCTTAGCCCATTGCCTAAGCTAGGGGAGGAGCCACCGCTCAGGTGTGTTGTGTGCACAAGCTTCCAAGTCTGTTAAGAGTGGGACCTCGGAAGTTTTTGGGTTCTGTCCCTGGTAGCCTCTTCACTGAGAGTCCCCTTACCTGGCTCCCTGGCCCATCACTCTTCACAGCAGAGGATGAGGAGCAGACACCTGTCCCTCAGCCTTTGTATTCTGGAAGGGAGTCTGAGGAATCAGGGCAGACAGTAATGACAAAAGATTAAATTCAGCAAAACACCCAGTCCAGATAGTATTCATCCTGGAGTTATCAAAAACTTAAGCATGATTGACCTTCTTACTAAAATATTTAACATGTCCATAAAATTAGCTCTTGCTCCAAAGGATTGGAGAATGGCCAATGTAACCCTGATTTTGAAAAAGGGGTTGGGTTGGGGGATTTGGGGAATTGCAGGCCAGTTAGCATCTGTTCTGGGTGAACTGCTTCAAAGCATGATAGAAGGTAGACCCAGTAAGCACACAGAAGGACAAGCCCTGCTGAAAATGAATCAGCATGGCTTCTACATGGGAAGGCTTGTCTCACTGGCCTATTGGAATTCTTTGAGTGCATCAGTAAGCATAAAGACTAGCAGTGATGGAGCAAGAAAGGGATCTTGCGGGGGGCATGGAGAGCTCAATGAAAATGTCAGCCCAGCGCTCAGAGGTTGTGAAGAAGGCAGACTCCCTGCTAGGCATAATTAGAAACACAACAGAAAATACAGCTGCCAAAATCTTACTTCTGTTATGCAAATCTTTATGTTATGCACTTAGAATATTGTGCTCATTCTAGTTGCCTTACCTGGAAAAGGACATTATTGAGTTGGAAAAAAGAAGGGAAACAAAAATGATTAGGGGGCTGGAGCAGCTTCTCTATGAGGAGCGGCTAAGACAACTGAGGCTGTTCAGCTTATAAAAAGCTTAGTAAAGGGAGACATGACAGAGGTTTTGAAATAATCTATGGTATGCAGAAAGTGGAGAGGGAGACATTTCTCTCCCCTGACCCTTGAACTCAGCATCATCCCATGAAGCTGATTGGGGCGGGGGAGTTTTGGGATGGATTAAAGGAAGTCCCTCTTCACACAGTCTAGTTAAACAATGGAATTCACTGCCCTGGAAAGCGGTGATGGCTGCCAATCTGGGTGGCTTCAAAATAGGGACTGGGCAGATTCCTGAGGGAGGGAGCTGTCCGTGGCTACTAGCCGTGCTGGCTGTGTGCCGCCTCCTTTGCCACAGGTGGCCTGCCCACATACACCTGCTGCTGAGGAGCTTGGGCGGGGGGGTCTGGCACCCCTCCTGCCTGAGGGATCCTGTGGGCGGCTGGTTTGCCAACGTGTGCAGAGCCCCAACCTAGATGGATCTTCGGTCTGATCCAGCAGGGCTTGTCTTTTTCTCCTATGTTCTTACGCCCCTCATAGGAGGCGAGACAGATGCTTTCTGTGCAAAGCCCTTGTGGGGAAGGTTGCAGTCTCACCGCAGCTGGGAGGAAGCACCTCTGCCTCTCCCTTTATTTAGCCTTGAGGCTTCCAGGCCAGGGAGCAGGCGCAGCTCCTATCCAAGCCGTGCCCTCAGGAGTCCGATCCTTGACTTTGTTAAATAGTGCCCATTCATTCCTACGGCCAAGAATACCGCACGTTCTACTCGATATGGGGTAACCCGGCCCCAGCTGCCCAGGGTTGGGGCATGAAGCCAAAGAGACAATGCCTCTCCCCCCGAAGGGAAGGGAAGAGGAAGAGAAGGGCCTCCTTCCGGGCCCAGGGAGGCAGGCTGGCCGTGGCCAGCCTCGGACCCGTCCCAGCAACTGATGGGTGGGCGTAGCGCCCGTGAGTGAGAAGAGCACCCACCCTGCTTTCCCGTGGCTGCTGCCCCGCAAAGCAGCATGCCGAGACCGGCATCTCCTTTTGGCGAGGGCAGGAGCGCTGGAGGGCAGGAGTGTGCATGTCGGAGGTGTTGTCTGTAGTTCAGAGTTGTCCTTGCGATCTCTGCCTGCTGGCTTGGTGGTCTTGCTGGGCTGGGGCTGGTGCAGAGGGGGAGAGAAGGGCCATGCATGGCCGCTAGCCACAGGGGTCGGCTGGCTCCTGCCCTGGGCAAGCGGCCTCATGTCATGGCAGCAGGAAAAGGGTCAGAAGCAGGTCTTGCTGAAAGCAAATGCCCTGGGGAAGTGAGAACTTTTGGAATGGAGAAAACTAAAGATACACACCAGAAGAAAAAAATGTGTGTAGGGGCTATTAGAGCGGGGGAGGATAGCACCCATTTGTTCAGCACCCTGGAGGGCCAGGGACTTCACACTCCGGAGGGAGGAGAGGCTAGGAATACAGGAAAGATGCTGGCGCACCAGTGAGTTGCTTGGCTTACCCTTGTGGCCTCATGTGCCACAGACTGTCCCATTCAGCGGACACAGTTTGACCCTTCAGCCCATGAAATAAAAGCACGCCTGTTGTCGAGATGTTCTTGGGAGTTTTGCCTTTGCCGACTGACTGGAGGGTGGCGGCTCTGGGGCTGGGCTGCCTGACCTCGTCCGGTCCTTCCCCAACACCCCCCCCCCAAGAACACGTGCCAGTGCTATGCAAGGAAGCCTCACAATTCTGCATGGACAGCAATACTAAATCCTGTGACTGGAATAAACTATGCAAATATACATATATTTCTAAAATGTGCTTTCCACTTGTGGTGCTACTTGGTTTGGGTTTTCTTGTGGGATCCGGCAGGGGAAGCTAAATCCCAGGCCAAAGGGATCAACAAAGGCCAGACCTAACTAGTGGGAAAGTCCGTTCATGAAGAAAAGCTGAAGTTTAGCTTTAGTTCAAGAGGAGCATAGGCTCAGTTTTTAGGTCTTTAGGTACAGCTTTAAGTTAAACTTTTCAATGGTTAAAATAGAACACCAGTCTAGAGACTGCACATTGAGCCAAATCCAGTGATTCTGCCCCTTGTATTCCTGGCAGAAGACGCCCACGGGGCTCCACAAAGATGTCGGATTGACCTGAAAAACAAAAAAGGACATGAATAGGAAGTGGAAGGAAGGCCTGGTAACGAGGGTACAGGCAGGTGGCACAGAAGTGGAGTGATGACATTAGGAAAGCTAAACCTGAGAAAGTGCCGAAGCTAGCAAGGGATGCTAAAAGTTGCAAAAAAGCTTTTTTCACAATAAAAGACTGAGAAAAGAAATAATGGCTCAATTTCTCAATGAAGAGGGCAAATTAATAACAGATGACAAAGAAAAGGCCCAAAGCTACTGCTGTGTTGAGCTGCATTAACAGCAGCAGCACTTGCAGATCATGTGAGCTGCTGGTTCCCCTCTATTTGGCACTGGTTAGTCCCCATCTCATCAAATCAGTCAGTCTTAAAGGAAATCAACCCCGACTGTTTTGTGGAAGGCCAGATACTGAAGATGCAACTCGTACTTTGGCCACCTAATGAGAAAGAACAACCCACTGGAGAAGAGCCTGATGCTGGGAACGATAGATGGCAAAAGGAGAAGGGGCGGCAGAGGATGAGGCGGCTGGATGGGGTCACTGGGGCGGCGGGTGTGGGCTTGGGTGGACTCCGAGGGATGGGGGAAGATAGGAGAGCCTGGAGGAACGTTGTCCATGGGGCTGTGATGGGTCAGGCATGACTGCAACAAAACAAAAGGTCCCCATCTCCAGTTCTGGGCACCACACCTCCAATGTAGACAAACTGGGAAAGGGTCAGAGGAGGGTAACAAAGAGGATTGGGACTGGAAACAAAGCCTTATGAGGAGAGACTGGAAGAGCTGGACATGCGTAGCCCTGAGGGAAGATAGCACAGCCCTTGTCAAATACTTGAACAGCTCTCACACGGGAGGCCCAGGATCTCTCCTTGGTCATCCCAGAGTGCAGGACATGGAATGGGCTCAAGCTGCAGCGAGTCAGATTCTGGCTTGATGGGGAAAAGCAGAGCAGTTCAGCAATGGAAACCAGGGCGCACGGAGGCACTGGGCTCTCCCACTCTGGGGGCATTCAGGGGGCACCTGGCCAGCCACCGCAAGGGATGCTTGCAGTCCTGCATTGAGCTGGAGTTGGACTTGATGGCCTTTCGGGCCCCTTCCAACCCTACCATTCTTTGTTCCCACGAGCCACATCCATTGCTATCTGTGCTAATCAGAAAGCAATCTTCATTCTCGGGAGACTCGACTGACCTATACCACTGAACACTACTGTACTTGAGCCATGCTTTCTAAAAGTGCATTTCAAGCAAGCTGTCTAGTAACAGTTGGAGCACATGAGCCAGGGTCCTAAAAGCAGGCAAACGTGTGCGGGAGCCCCTTCACTGGGTACAAGGAATGCCACTGACCAAGCCTCCATGATGAAATGTGAGGCGATATGCAAGTTAAGTGCCCATGCAAGTTTGGCAACAGGACAAGACACCAGGGCTGAGTCAAGCAGTGCGCTTGCTTTCATCTATGCGGATATGCATATCACATATATGTAGGCCAAACACACACCCAGGGGATCGTTTGGCAGTGAACTCCGTGTGCTTGAGAAAACTTGATGCCTCAAAAGATGAGAGCCAGAGACAACAGACCAAACACTTGCCTGTTTGAAAGTTAGTTTACTGGAGAATTAAATTCACGTTAGAGGAATCAGAACCAGACTTAATTCAGAAGAACTCAAATATTTATTTATTTATTTGGGATATTCCTAACCTGTCCAGTCACTGTGTTTCTGGAGAAGAATTTAGAATAACTCAGAAGAATTTTTTAAACTTACGTAAAAATCAGTAGTAAAGCTAGGTAGAATGGAATAAATAGAAAAGTTGTGGGTTCAACAATGTGTTAAAGACCTTTAACAAGGCCTTTCTACAAAGACTTCTGAGCGAACTCGCAATCATGGAATAAGAAAGGAGGCCCGCTGAGTAAGAACAAATAGTGCATTTTCCCAATGGAGGAAGACCCATGCAGGGGCTCCACGGAGACCTGTATTGGGACCAACACCTTCCATCTTCCTCATAAATGATTTGGCCACATTTGCTGGTAAAAGGAAATTATTTAGCATAGTAAGCATGAGGAAAGGGCCCAAAATCCCAACATCAAGTATAGCCTGATGGGATCTCAGCGAGAGGGACTTGGACTGCTCCAGAGAGTGATCTAGGGGTATGGTAGCCAGCTCAGTGAAAGTGTTTGTTACCAAATTCAGCCAGTCAACAGCTAGGGAAAACCCGGGTGGACCCCAGACCTGAGCCAAAAGGAGCCTGAGATGAGACTTCGAGCCAAAACCAGCTTTATTCTAGTGCACTATAGAATAAAGGGAGACAAAAGGGGACATTCAGCCCAAAGCAGTGTCTCGAAAGTTGCACTTCAGTACATGTGTTTTATACCCAAGGTAACCAATTAGGTCACCTAATACACATCGAATACATGGATACATCAACGTATGCACCCCCTCCCGTGCTGGAGAAAGAGTCCTTCCTTCTGTCGGGACCAGACATTTCCCATGTCTATTTCTTATCTGCTCGAGATTCGCACAGGCTTGCCACGTTCTTACTCCCTGCACATTTGCAACTTTCATGGCAGCTAGAGCCAGTTTCCACTGTCCCTCTGATTAATGGGTTTGAGGTCAGGCTCAGGGCAGCCTTAACAGCATGATGGGCCCCGGGCAAAGCAGTGCACTGGGGCCCCTACGACAACTGCAACTACTGTTAATTCTGGAAGTTTCCCCATTTCCCAAGGGTTAACACACATAGATTAGTATGGGGCCCACGGGCAGGTGCCCATCCGGCCCATGCGTTCAGACGGCCCTGGTCAGGATAGCGTGTTGGCTGCGGGTTTCACAAAGTTCATTTTGTTCTTATCCACCCTCCCTTCTGGGGCAGTATAACTGTGGTGTTTTTACTATGCGGCCTTCCCGTGGCCAACTACTTTTGGGGTGTTTTGGGGTGCTGCAATTGGCAACAAAGCTCTTCCAGCATTTCTCTATGTCAGTGACTTGGTCTAACTGCACAAGACAACAACCCGCCATCAGGGTGCAAAAAGCAGAAGCTCTTTACTGAACGGTGAACACGTCACTACAGAGCAGCCAACTCCCCCTTCATAAGAAACCAGCACCGGTCATCAAAAAGGCAGATGTTCTTATACCTTTAAGAGCAAACTCGATCACTGGTTATTTTGGCCTGTCCCATCTACTCACCGATTCCACCTCTGTCCTCTGTCGGCTAGAGAAATTAGGCAGCACCCCACATCCACCGTCACAGTGGGCAGTGAAGCAGAAAGCGAGGCGCCAACAATTGTCTTCTCGGCATTATCACAACTAAGGATGCTGTTTCAGCTGAACAATGTCTGTGGCACTTGTGATACATTCATACATAGAAAAATACTGAATTTCTGTACCACTTGAGGGGAGCTCTTTGGGTCAAGGCCTCAGTAATGTTATGGAGTTCAAGCACAGGGAATCAGAATTTTATATCGCTATTTTCTTTGAATAAGCTCAAGGTGGAACTAATTGTTTCTCCTCTACATTGGGGATGGAAGCAGAAGGGTGTGGACAGTGTACAACTGACACCACGCTGTACTGCGGCATTAAAGCCGATAGATGGGAAAGTTGTGTAGAATTGGACACCTGTGCTTATTTAGATAGCATAAGAGGGTGTTTCCACACAACGCTGCACTCAGTGTATCCTCACTGCAGGAATTGCCAGGACTGCATCTACTCAAAACTTCAGCCATAATGAGGGTTCAGGTTGCACTAATGCTACCATGGGGTTACACTAGCACAACAGTAGAACTGTGGTTGGATCGTCTACAACCATAGAACTGTAGGGTAAGAAGGGGCCAAGAAGGACTCCAAGTTCACGCATCCCTCTCAGATGGTTGTCCAGCTGTATCCTGAAAGTCTTTACTGGGGGAGAGCCCACAACCTCCCCGGGTCGTCGGTTCCACAGTTGTGCTGCTCTAACCATCAGGACATGGCTCCTGATATCTCGCCAGGCCATGGCTTTCTGAAACTTGAGCCAGTTATTCCATGTCCTGCACTCTGAGGTGATTGAGAAGAGATCTGAGGCTATATAGCCAGGGGATGGCATACAAAAACGTTGAATAAATAAATGATCCTGGCCTTCCTCTCTGTGACAATGGCCACCTACAATAACACAATGAGTAGAGGAATTAAATTTCCCTAATTTCATAGAATCATAGAATAGATTTATGAAATAGAGCCCCCTCTATCGCAGGACCCCAATTTACACAACCCTTGCTATTTGTTTCTGCTCTTCCTTTGTGGCCTGGCCCCGCTTCCACTCCCTGTGCATGCCCTTTTTCCCTTTCAGGCTGGCACTGAACTGTGTGTGGAGCCACGCGGGCTTCCTCTGCTGCCTTCTGCACTTCTTTCTTGTTGGATTGTTTGCAGTTGTGCCTGGAAAAGCCTCTTTTTCCAGATTCCCGACCCCTCTTGGACTGCTTTCCCCTAAGGGTGTGTTGCCGCGGCACTTCGCTTACCATTGTCCTGAGACGCGCCCGTTGTTCGGGGGGGGGGGTGCCTCTTGCCGGACTGTCTCCACTGAACCGCTCCGCCTTGAGTGACCCTGCGAGGAGACCAGCCGCCGTAAGGCAGTCTGGCCTCCCGCGAGCGAGCGTCACGCATTACTGAGCCTGGGAAACGCTGATTTCGTAGCGTCACTGTGTGCTGGTGGGCTGTGACTCGGGCGTCCAACTGCATCAATGACGGAGGTTAGAGAAACCACTGAGCTCAGAGCGAATTTGCTATTCATCACTGACGGGACAAATGGCAGTTGGCAGAGGCAGAAACGACGGCGCACGCAACACCCGCCCATTTGCCGGCAGCCGGCACCCACGCCGAGCGAGCCCCTCTCTCATCCAGTCTTGCTTTTAGTGTCAGGATGTGTGGCAGAATGGACCACCTGAGAAAGTGTGCCGTTCTTTGTGTTCCTGGGCGTGTTCCACTGCTGTTCTGGTACATGCTTTTTTCATTCTGACAGTGCCTGAAATCTCACCACCCAGCTCAAGATGGCACCTAAGAAGAAAGAGCCGAAATCCACGAAAGTGGCTGCCGAGGGACCGGTGAGCGCTCTGCCCTCCGTCGGCAAGAAGGAACTGTACCTGCAGAAGGAACACGCCGCCCTGACGGAGCACGTCAACGTGTGTGCACAGCGTGCGAGGCAGTTCCAATGGGAAAGCGAGTTCTTGGACAAGGAAGCTCAGCAGATCCGCGAGACCAGCAAAGTCTACCTCTCCTACTTGACCAGGCGCACAGTGCGACGCCAGAACGCCATCGTCTCCTTGAACGACCAGAATCGCGTGGACCTGGCCCGGATCAAGCAGCAGAAGGCGGAGCTGGTGGCTCAGTACACCGAGCGAGAGAAAGCGGTGAGGCACCAGCTGCTGGAGAGGGAGACCAAGCTGCGTCTCATTAGCAAGGAAGCTGAGGCCATGCAAGCCTGGCGGGAGCTGCAGCTCGAGCAGCTGACCCGCATCCGCGAGCTGGAGAAGGAGCTGCTGGTCATGAAGGTCCAGCACGCGGATCAGATGCACGAGGTCAAGAGCAGATTCCTGCAGCAGGTGCCCGACTACGAGATGCAAGCCCAACAGAAAGTTCAGGCTCTTGCCAAGCTGGCCGAGAAGGAAGCCGTGCGCAGCCTGATCCAGCACACCAAGCAAGTGAAAGCCGACAACCGGCAGCTGCGCCATGAGCTGCTGGGCCTCATCAGGCAAGCCCAGGTGCTGAAGGAGTTCCTCCTGCAGCTGAGAGGGCGGCGGCAGCAGCTCCTGCAAGAGCACCAGTACCGGCAGGACCTCGCCCGTGCGCGTACCTGGCTGAGGCAGCATGAGCCCCAGCTGGCCACCCCTCTGGGCGGTAGCAGGTTCAGGGGCGGCCGTGCGGCTCGAACCCGGCTCATGCCCTGCCAGGTCTCGGCGGGAGAGGCTCAGCTGCCGCTCGCCCAACTGAGTCAGCTCTGAGACCACCGTCTTCACTGCCAGCACGCCCCTAAGCAGAACTAGGGACTGTGGCCTCGCATGCATTGTCTTTGTCCGGCTTCACCACCAAATGGACAAAGGCTGACAATGTCCAGGCCCATCTCAAATGTTCAGTTTGTAGTCCAGCTTGAATGTATGGGAATCCAGCTTCTTGCACGCAAACGACTACGTTTCAGAGGAATGTGGGGGGGGGGTGATGGGCCGGTCCCGAGTCACTGCTCACACCGTGTCCGTCAAGGCTTCTCCTTGCCCAGGGAAGCAAAGCAGGCACCCGCCACCATGTTACAGTGCTGTGGAGACAAGGGCCGCTTGGAGCAGCTGCCCCAGTTAGTGCCCAGGAGGCTCCACAGCTGCTGCCGATTCCTCCCAAGAATGAAAAGCAAAGGCAGGAGAGGCCAAGCGAGTGGTTGCAGGAAAGTAGGGGTGAAAAATGAGCTCCCTCGCCCAGACGCCTCTGCCAGTGGACCCCATGCCCAGCCACGGACCTCCAGCAGCACCACAGTCCCTTCCGCGAGGTGGGGCAGCGCCTGTCGCTTGTGTGGTCTTGGTGGCTGCAGTGATCTTCATTCACTGCTCTGTGATTTTCGTTTCTTTGTTGCTTTAGTGTTCAGTTTGCTCCTATTTTGCAAACTGTTGTAAGGATATGTATTCAGGCGGGGGGGCTTAAGTACTAATAAAATGCATTTCACTTTCCTGGCCTCCTTGGCAGCGTACGTGAGAAGTTTTCAGAAAGAAGCCGTCACTGGTGACACGATCGTGCACACGCTCACCAGCGCTCGACAACACGCTTCGCTCTTACTCCCTAGCGACAGTGCCCAGGACCGCGGCTCAGGCGACTCCAGAGCAAGCGCTTCCGTGTGCTGCTAAGGGGTCCCACTTGCCTCCGCTCCCCACGCCTGCTGCCAGCACAGACGCTCCTTCCCAGAGGGGCCTGCACCAGTCCCAGGCAGCAGACCTTCCTGGGGGGGGGGGTCGCTCCTGTCCAGCCCCTTCCTGCCAGGCCACTGCAGCCAGGGTGCCATCGTGGCGTTTGCAGGTTGCTTGCAGCTCCTCCTTCTGCTAGCATGACCCAAGAGGCTTACAATAAAAAGGAAGTGCCGTGTAATGGCACCAGCAAGTCCAGAAGGTGGGGACGCAGAAACTCCGGTGGAGAGCTCTGTTCAAGTATTTTTCAAGCCACTAACAGCTGAAGTATGTAGAAACACAGAAACAGAGCAAGTCAGAAGGGTCTCCCGGGCCATCTAGTCTGACCCCCGGCTCCAGCCGGCTTCGCTCATGACATGCCCACCATGCGCATGGCCAGCCTATCTTGGAACACCCACACCGATGGGGCCTCAATGTCCTCCCGTGGAAGCCCCTTCCACACCCTCAGGGTCCTGAAGCGCTTCCTGGCATCTAAATGGAACGTGGGTTCCCTGAGCTTGGCTCCGTCGGAGCATGTTCTGCCCTCCGCAGGGGAGAACAGGTGCGCTCCCAGCTCCGGGTGACACCCCCTCACTTTGAACAACCTGTAGCCAGCGAAGCAGCAAGGTGGCAGACACGGCAACACATGCGGCGCTCAGCTCCGGCTTCCTTCAGCGAAGAGGCACTTGCGCAGGCAACCGTTTCCCGCCCTTGCTGGGGCCCCTGCAATGAGCACTCCAGCTCACAGGGATGGCGGTTGTGGCCTCGCACACACTCACACTGCTCCGGCTGTTGGCCCGGACAGTTCCACACATGCCTGGTTGTGCTCTGGCCTCGCCTCCTACGCTGCCTCTCCCTACATGCGGGCTCCCCAGGGGGAGATCTGGCTGGCCACTGCAGGAAGCGGTGCAACGATGGGAGAGGCTTCACGGAGCTGGTGTAGCTCCAGGGTCTTCTGATGCTCGCCGGTGTGCCAGGGCCCGCACGCCTCCTCTGCTCCGTGCCGCGGCCTGCGCATGGCCCCACAGACGGGGATCGCGCAGAGCCAGCGCAGGCAAGGCCAGAGTCTCTGTGCAGTGTGACTTCACGCACAGCAAACGCAGGAGAGCCTCGGGCACGACATTCCCCCCTCGTCCTCAGGCAGAGGGCCAGAGTGAGCTCCCTTCGCTCAGTGGCTTTGCAGCCAGTCTCTGGCCACCTCAGCCACAGAGGCGCTGGAAGAAGAGCTGGCGGAGAGGCCTGCCCAACGCTCCAAAGAGCCTCCAGCAGCTAGAGGAGGAAGCGGCACGGCATTCGATTGGCTGACAGGCAGCTGTATCGGCTGCTCAAGGCTCAGCCCTGGGCAGAGGAGGGTAGCTGCCCTGACCGAAAAACCAGGTCTTCTGTAACCGCTGCCCTCCACAGCAGCCGACCGAGAAAGGAGCCGTCCCACAGAGTTATTCTAGAAAGGCTTCTTTATTTAAAATCCATACAAGAATAAATATGGTGGCCACTGGGGGGAGGGGGCAGGAGAGGAAAGACTACCTGACAGGCCCACAGGCAGCCAGGCAAGGCGTTCCAGAGCAATGAGCATGTTCTCTGTCTCTTGTGGTTGCGGACATTTGTTTTAGACCTGCCCTTCCTCCGGCACTCGAATGAACGATGCAATGTGGAGCTGTTGGAGGAGCAGCCGCGCGCACACCCCTTCAGCCCAGAGTCCTGCTCAGGCTTCCACATGAAGGAAGGAGGAGGACACCTTCCCGTGCGGTTCTGTAAGAGGATCTGCACTCTGCTTCCGGGGCACTCAGGACTGCTGGGCACTGGGAGCGAGCAGCTGCCGGCAAGCAGCTGAGACAGGAAGGCTCTGCAGAGCAGACTTGCAGATGGTCCCATAGGATTGGGAATAACTGCCCAGGCAGGCCTTGGCATCGCCAGCTGTCCCCACATTTGCTGTAACCTGGAACATCTTTTTACAGGGCTTTGGAAAAGGATGAGCTTCCCTTCCATGGGACTCAGAGCTCCCTGGATTCTGCATAAGAGAAAGAAGGGTGATTGCAAAGAAGTGGGGATTTCTTTATTCACTGTATTTTTAAAACAATCCAAGTTCTCTGATAATGAACAATACATTAAAATTAGGTACAAATATTTAAACAAAATAAGAACAGTGGATAATCAAGGAATAACACTATCAGAGCACAAAGGCAAATTAAAATGAGCAGCAGATTGAAGCTCTTAAAAACTATTCTTAAAAGGCCTGGCTCAGCCCCTGGCAGCATCAGCAGGTGGGCTGAGGAAGCGCCCACCCGGAGGCCGGATGGCTGTTGCTGCCTGTCCACACCAGCTGCTCAGGGCTGGATGGACCGAGGGTCTCACCCTGCATAAAGCAACTTCCCATGTTCCCAGGCACCAAGGGGGAAAGGAACTTGTACTCACCACTCCGGTCTTGGTGAGCAAAGAGACCTTCCTCATCAAGGAGTGATTAAGAGCTGCTTCCTGAGCCTGGCCCAGCAGGAGTCTGGAGTGAGGAACAGCTGGATTTTGTCTCTCCAGCCCTTCTGCAACCTGCTGAAGCAGAACCCTGACTGAGCCCAAGTTCTGCTAACCCACAAACCGGTGGGCGATGAGAGGGGATTGGGCAGAGAGGAAGAGCAGTAGCAGCTGAGACATCCTGAGGTGGCCCCGGACATCGACTGGACCTCCTGCTGAAGGCCCAGAAGTCAGTCAGTCAGTCAGTGGGTGGGGAGCAGCCATTTCCCAAGGTTGCCCTCCACAGGAACTGGGCTGGAAAATCCTTTGCCGTTATATATAATTTCTAGTATGCAAAGCAGTTGGCATATCTTCATCATCCCCATCATTATCAACTATACCTTTCAGACCGCCTCTCCCAACTGTGATGTCGGACACTATGCTCAACCTCTGGGGTCCTCCTCTGAGTGCCCACCCCACAGAATTGGAGGGAGGCAACAAGGGGAAGGGGCTTTTCTGTGGTGGAACAACCTCTCTGTTCTGGCCACCTAGCACCAAACTTGCCATCTTTTTGGCAATAGGTTAAGACCTAGAAACAAAGAAACTGAGTGAGTCAGAAGGGGCTTCCCAGGACATCTAGTCCGATTCCCAGTTCCAGTGGCTCCGCTCACGACACGCCCACCATGGGCATGTCTAGCCTGCATCAAGACAGTCCTTGATGCAGTGGCCTCGAAAGATCTCCATGGTTATCCAAGGAGGGGCTCATCCAGGTAACTCTTTTCCTTGGCAGGGGCTTTTTTACTGAATGTTTTTTAGCTATTTAGAATCCATTTTATTCATTGCTTTGTTTTTACAGTATTTGTCTTGTATTTTATTGTACTGCTTTATACAGTGCTGTAAACAACCCAGACAGCTTTGGGGTGGTAATCATCATCATCACCATCTTGATGATGATAATACCATACTGTCTTTATGCCTTGTCTTTCTTCCTCCTCAAGGAAGAGAAGGCGGCTTACAAGAACCTTGCAAGTGGAAAAAAGGTGGGTTATAAATGCAGCAGCATCTTGGCTATTTGAGGGCTGCTCAAAGTGTCTCCTCCGCCAGATGTGCAATTCAGTTGCTCAGTCAGAGTTACTCACCCCGTGGAGACGGGGCGCGTCTGCTGCAGGGCCCAGGGTGCTCCCTGGCGCAGGGGACAGCTGCCTCCTCACTCGCGGGTTGAGGGAAGCAGCCCGCTGGGGAAGGCACGACACACCGCGATTCCTTGTCGCTGTGCTGCCAGGAGCCAGATCACCTGCAGAAGGGGGAACACCGACAGGAGAAGAGGCTCTCGGTCATTTCACCTGGGAAGAAATGCCAGAGCAGCCGGAGCGGCAGTAACACCTGCAGCAGGATGAGTGTCCCCCCCAAAGGTGGCCTCTCCTTCCGCAATCTGTGGGTGCCAATGGTGCCCATTTGATCCATTGTGTGACGGAAGGCACGGAAGCCTTCTTGCCCGAGCGTGACCGAAGGGCAAACTTCCTGGGCTGGCTACTTTGTTTAAGATGCCTGTGGCCCTCGCTGCCATCCGTGGCAGATCAGGCAAGTGAGAAGATCAGACCAGTGAACAGCCTTGTCACATTTTGCAAGATTGGTTTTAAATGACAGCCTGGCTTCCCAAAATAAACAAAGATAATAACAGACATTTAAAAACGAACATCCCAGTACTTAGTGTGAGTGAACTAAAGTGAACTGGAATGGGATGGTCATACTAATATAACCTGCTTTACCCTGAAAATGACAAGCTCAGAAGAAATGGAGTGGCTCTAATACTGAGGTCTGGGTAGCACAGGCAGTTGGGGGCTATAAAGTAAAATCCAGCAGAATGATATCAATCAGAATTTGAAAACCAATCAACCTAATCATGATTTTAGTCAAAAGCAATGGAAGAAATTGAAAACTTTTGTGCAGGTGTTCAAGAGTAAATTGATAACACATCAAAATAAGACATGCTATTAATCCTAGCTGACTGGAATGCAAAACTGGGAAACAAAGCAGAATCAAATGTTGGAGGAAAATTTAGCCTAGGAGTAAGAAACGAAACAGCTTGTAGAGTTTTACAAAAGCAACAACCTGTTCCACACAAACCCACACTTCAAGCAACTGCTCACATGGGCCGCACCAGATGGCCAATGCAGTAGTCAAACAGATTATGGACTGGGAGCAAAAGCTGGAGAATCTGTATTCTTGCTGCCAAAAGAAGACCAGGAGCAGACTGCGGTGGCAGCCATCAGCTCTTAATTTCAAAAACCAGAGTCAAGCTAAACAAGATCACCAAGAGAAGAACAGTGCCAAAGTATAACTTAAGTAACATTCCCAAGGAATTTAGATTCCGCATAAAGAACAGGTTTATATTGTTCAGCTTGAGCGATCATGAGCCACATTTGCTGTGGACGGGCTAAAATCCGAAGCACACTAAAGGAAGAATGCCACAGACAATTCCTCACTGCACACAAGAAGCCCAGTTGCAAAAGACAGGAGAAGGAAAAGCAAAAGGAAACAGAAATAGGATCAAAATCCAATTACTATCATGTAGAGACAAAAAGAAGTATTGCCATGATAGTCCAAAGAGACAGAAGAGAGCAATAAAAGAGAAAAATCAAGATGCCTCCTCCAGAAGATCCAAGAAATCAAACGGAAATTCAATCCTAGACGAATAACACCAAAGGAAAAAAAAGGGAGCATATTCCATCACCAGGGAAAAGTAAAGAGAAGGTGGAAAAAATATGCAGAAGAACTGCACAAAATTTAAAATGAAATTTAAAAGAGAAGAAGGGGTGCCAGACTCCTTTGAGGTGGAACCCTATCAAGAAGAACCTGCAGTGTTAGAAAGCAAAGTGTAAGCCGCTCTGCAAAGAGCACCTGGAGCAGGCAAGATACACCTGGGACCACGCCGAGGTGCATAAAAGGAATCGGATCAGATCCTAACAAAGCTATGCGTACAACTCTGGGAAACAAAACTGCGGCCCACACCACAGACGGGACATGAACGGGAATGTGTCGGGAAGCACATTCCAATCCCCAAGAAAAGGGATGCAGAAGCGTGCGGCAAGCACAGGACCACGGCATTATCTTCCCAGAAGTTCGAAGAAGACTGAGACTTGGAAGGACAGCGGTGAAGGGACTAGAAAGGACGGCAGAGCGCAAGGACGTTTCACTGGAGAACACTCTCAAACTCATCCACGCTATTGGACTCCCTACAGGAAGAACATTCACACATTCAAAACACGGTGCTGGAGGAGAGCTTTGCGAATATCCTGGCTGACAGAAAGACGAAGAAGTGAGTTCTCAATCATCAAGCCAGAGCTTTCCCTGGAAGCAAAAAATGCAAAACTGAGGCTGCCGTACTTCAGACACACCATGAGAAAGCAAGATTCAGTGAAGAAGACAATCGAGTTAGGGGAAGTTGAAGGCAGAAGATAAAAGGGAAGACCAAATATTAGATCGATGGCATCCATAAAATAAGGCACGGCACTGGAATGGAGCTGCCATGGATAAGAGATTTGGGAGAGTTTCCATTCATAGGATCATCATAAGTTGGAGATGAGTTGACGGCACACAACAACGACGACAACAATGCAGTTAGGATACTTGCTCAGCGCAGTGCCCTGCTTTGCACACCAAAGGTCCGAGATGCCTTCCCTGGCGGAATCCCCGGACAGGGCCGGGTGGCCATTGCTGCCAGGCAGTACAGACAATAGTTGGATAGAGCAGCGGGGGGGAGGAAGGGGGAGGTCTGACTCCATAGAAGGCAACATCTTAGGGTCCTAGCAGCAAAATGGATGTACAGAAAAAATAACCAAGCCATTACCGCCAGCAGAAAACAACAAAACTGCCAGCAGGCAAAGATTTCCTGGAAGGCAGCGGTCCCTGCCTTCCAGCAGAGTATCATGAGGGAGAGGGCAGCACTGGGATCTCAGGGCCCTGCCAAGGCCACGACCAAAGCCCCCTCTCCCTGGTTGCGGCCAAACGAGCCTCACAGCAGAGGGAGGCCAGCATGACATGGGCAGAAGTGCACCCGGCAATATCCATGTGCTGCCTGAGAGTGGAGCCATTGTGTGGTGCCAGTCACGATCCCTACGGCTGCAGAAGGCCAACGGGAAGCACGGCACCAGCAGAAGACATGGGAAATGCAGTCCTTGTGAAACTACGCCCCCAAATTAGCGCGACTGCCTCCACATGTCGTGAGCACAGTGTGTCATTCAGGACATAGTTATTGCTGCTGGGTCAAAATTAACTTTCTAATAACTTGGATCTTAAAATAATCAAAACTACTAAGAGACTGAACAAACCTGTAACAAGTTTCTATTGTCTCTACCAAAGACTATGTTCCCACTTAAAACTAAGCAGAGCTCCTGCAGTCGTTCCTAGACAGTTATGCATTTTTGGTAGAGAGCTGGATATCAGATTTGGATGCCCAGACTCCTTTTCCTAGACAGACCGAGATGCTCTCTGACATGCGCCTCCACGGAGTTGATGTGGGACATCATTGCTTCTGGGAGAGCAGTCAGTGAAGGCTGCTAACTACCCCTGGCCATCTTGCACAGCTCCGTTCTTCTGGACAAGCAGCCACGCCTTTTCCTCAGGGATCTCCAGCACAATTTGCTTTCCCCTTGAAAAGTTCAAGAAATGCTCCCTGGGAGAATTCTGAGACATCCGCAGGCCCTGCTGTTCCTTTTGGTCCGGAAAAGAACCTCCCCTGCTGAATTCTGCCATGAAACCTGTCAGCTCTCCCTGCTAGATCACTCTGTTTGCTTGCTCCCTGGGAGCCTGGTAGTCCCTGGACAAGCTGAGGGCGTCCTTTGACCTGCTGAGCTAGGCGTCAGGATGCAGGATGACTAGGACCTCAACTGGATCATCAGTTAAAGTGACAGGAAAACCTCAAAGAGCCACTAGAAAACTTGCCTGGTGTGGAGGATCTGCTGTCCATGACAAAGGAACCACACCAAGGCCCCTCACCCCAGACAGCCTCCCCCGCACCCCGGCGCGCAAGTGTCGAGGAAGTCCAGGGTAACTCTGGTCGAGCGCCTGGCACCGCACTGAGAGAAGCTCGTGGGTGTTGTAAACTGCTAGGACTGCCAGTCTGAGAGGCCTTCCGTCTTGCTTTTGATCACTCCCAGGCCCCGCTGGGTCCCTCAGGCAAAGCAGTGCTTGCACAGCTCAGGCACGGGAAAATCACCTCCAGAGACGGCTTGGTCTGAGTGGCAGTCAATAAACATGTCTGAGCCTAAGCTGCCCTGCAGGGCAACTGCAAGGCTGGGATCCCGCTTAAGCTGCTTGGAAGACAGCGATGTGCGAGGCCAGGAGGGCGGGTGGCAGGGCGGTCCAGGCCCACCCTGGAAGCAGACCTGCCTGCAGCAACATCTGGCACCAGCGTCCATGGGGAGCTGCTCCTCGCCGCACTGCAGATGCTCCCATCGTGTGGCAGGCTCCAGTCTCCCGGAGAGACGAGCAAGCGCGAGCTGGCCCGGGCCGTGGGCATGACCCTGCTGCTCCGGGCCAACAAGTGGCCCTGCACACTCGACCTGGGGCTCCTGGCCTGCTACATCAGCACAGCCCTTTCCTCACACAGAAAGCCCCCTGCCCATTTCTGTGGAGGCAGAGCCCCTCCAGCGCTCAGAGCAGCTCCTCCCTGCACAGCCTGGGACAAGCTGAAGCCCCGGAGCCGCACCCCAGCGAGGCCGGTTGGGTGCTGGGCTGCGTCTCACGGCAGAGGCCAGTCGAGAGCTGCTGCCTGGTCTAGTCTTGACGTGCCTCCGACACGCCCAACTGCTGCCCGCCCAGCCCAGACACCTCCGGCCGCTGTATCACTAGCCAGAGGGGCCTTCCTCCCCCTCGTCCAATGCCTCCTCTTTCACCCCTGCATGTAATTCACGCCTGGGAGGGCAACACATACCATGGGTGCCCGTGGGATTACAGGCTGAGGAGCTGGTCTCTGGCCTCGGGCACAGGCTGCATTCCTCACTGGCCCCCACGCCGTGGGGGGAGCCACCGGGTGGAAAGGGCTGTGGCCCTCCCTGGGCCTTGCTGCGGGCTTTGAGAGGAGCGAAGGCCGGCTGAAGACGCTCCCGCTGGAGCTGCTGCTGTCTCTGACGCTGGTTCCTGGTCTTCCGGTCCAAGATCACCTGCAAGCAGGCAGGCAGGCAGGCAGGCAGGCAGGCAGGCAGGCAGGCAGGCAGGCAGGCAGGCAGGCAGGCAGGCAGGCGGGCGGGCGGGTAGGAAGGAAGGAAGGAAGGAAGGAAGGAAGGAAGGAAGGAAGGAAGGAAGGAAGGAAGGAAGGAAGGAAGAACCGGTCAGGTTTCAAATGCCGCTACTAAGACAAGAGAGACTAAAAACAAGATAGGAGAGTGGGGGAAGGGAGCAGCAACAGTGTACTTGTGGGGGAATCTTCAAGGAATTACTCAGGCAGGAAAGCACCCAGCGCCGGCCCACCTAGCAAGGCTCCCCACCTTCTGCCCCGTCTCCTCCTCAGGACGGTGTTCTGGGGCAGACACCATTCCGGCAGGCACCCCCTTGCTGCCGCGCAGCCCCGGTGGCGATTTCCCTCAGCCCCTGGGCCATCACTAGGTCAGTCGCGCTCGGTCTAAGTAGGTGCTTCTCCAACACCAAAAAGCCCAAGGGAAATTCTGCGGCCTTGAGCCCTGTGCAAGAAGTTCGCAGAATTCTGCAATCAGAGATGGCAGGAGTGGAGCCGCCTGGAGCCGGGGGTCAGACTAGATGGCCTGGGAGGTCCCTTCTGACTCACTCTGTTTTTCTGTTTCTGTGTTTCTGATTCCCAGCCTTTGATGGCCAGCACATTATCATCTACCCTGAGTCCCTGAAAGGGTGCGGGGGCCCAGTAGGCCCAGCAAATGGGTCAGCAGTTTTGGGGGGGGGGCCTCCTTGGCCCTGTCTGCCTGGAGGGGAGAAAGACGCTACCTCATACAGCTTGTTGCGATACTCGGCCACAGAGAGCTGCACGTCGTCATCCAGAGGCAGAATGACGCTGTAGCCGAGCGCAGGCTCCTTGGCGGGACAGCGGAACCTGCCAAGAGGCCAGAGTGAGACGAGCTGGCCTGGCCGGCAGAGGCCGGGGAGACGCGCGCCCGTCTGCCGAGCACCCGCTCCCCGCAGTGGCCCAGGCACAGCAGCCAGATGCTCCAGGCAGGTTCTGGAGCTGTCAGCAGCTGGGCGAACGGCTCTCGTGGCACAGGCCAAAAGGGTCTTCCTTCCTCTCGAGGTGCCCACCGTTGCACATAGGGATGCTCCAGTGCCTCTTCCACTGTAAGCCGCTTCTCAGGGCTGAACACCAGGAGTCGCTTCAGGAGGTCCAAGGCCTGTGGGGGGGTGGAGGTGGGCAAGAGGTCCTCAAAGGTCGCCTGCTGCCTATGGCCAGACAAAAGACACAATCGAGGCAGTTCAGCCGCCCTGCCCGGTGCTCCCTGCCTCAGTGAGACGTGGGCGTCCCGCCACTGGGGAGGGAAGGACACTCACTGGCTGCTCAGGCGGTTGATGAGAGAGGCTCTATAGTCTGAATGGAAAGCCGCCACATCTAGAAGAGAAAAGCAGCGGATCACTGCCGGAGCAGCACCAGGAGGGAGGGGCTGGGGCTCGACTTGCCATGCGCCGCTTGCCAAAGGGGCAACGCCGCGCAGCGCAGCGCAGCGCAGCCCAGGGCTCCCAGAGGAAACGACCCAGCACCCCTCTCTCCCCAGGTGGCACTCAGGCGCAGAGTGACTGGTCCCGCCCCTGCTTCCTGCGGGGAAAGGAGCGGAGGACCGGTGTCCTCCTCCCTCAGTCTGGTGGCCTCTGCAGCTCCTGGATCTGGAGGGCATTCAAGATGTCTGGAGATCTCCACCTCCACCTCCTGCCACCCCCAGTCAGAGCGCCCCTGCCAGCACCGGCGGGAGGTGCAGCCCCGGCAGGTTTGCCTGCAAGCTGCCCGTTGCTGCCTGAAGCACACTTGCTCGGCCTACAAGCAAGGAACCCCAGTTGGTGGCGGAGGCTCTGCCACAACTGCCAGCCAAGGCCCTCTGGCAGCAATGGCTGCCTGCCCTTCCACTTCGCGGGCACAGCCGCTCGCTGGGAGGCCGCCATCGCGCGCAGCAGCCACCCATCCATCTGCAGCACCAGTGAGTGGGTCAAGCAAGAGGCAGCGTTCGCTTTCATTTTTTGTTCCCATATCAAGATTGCCAGCACAGGCTGAGAAACCAGATGGCATTGTTTTATGGATCTGTAACATGTAAGTAACATCTTTTTCAAAAATTGATACAGCCTGCAAAATATTAAACAAAGGCAACAATTAAGCGCCAAACAACCATCATGTAAAAGTGCTATTTAAAATGCTGGCCACATGGCCGTGTCCTGGTGTGCATATGCCCAAAATACACAACAGGGGAGGTTAATCTCAAGAATAACCGGCTGCCCATGAATTGCCCCAGACGGCACTCCCGAGCACTCCTCAGTCGGCCCTTTTATGCACCGATCGTTAAAGAGTTACACGCAACATGTTAACCCTTTCCAGCAGGTTACTGGAGTGAAGAGTTTCAGTGGTGGGATCTTCCCTGCCTCCACGCCCAAAAGATGCTCCAAAGGAGGGGGGGAGAATGGGATGTTATTCCAGGGGAGAGGAGAGGGCTGGTGTGAATTGCCCTTTGTTTGAGCCGCGGTTATCAGTCCAGTGCCAGCTGCCGCTCGCTATCTCTGGAAAGGTCCCTGGTTAGTGTCAGCTGCATTTCAAGGATGCACAAATGATGACACCTAGAGAAAAGGGTTCTTTTTCTGGCCCAGCCACATCATAACATTTGCATGATTGTGCCTGTGTAAGTTATACCTATTGATTTGTGCTTCAAAACATACTGAAGTTAGTAAAAAACCGTGGTGGAACAGTTTTCCCCGATGCTTAACAAACCTCAGCGTTGGTCCCAGTTTGACCTCCTGCGAGAGGGGCTTCCTGGAAAGGCCTCACTCCCAGTGGGTCGCGAGAGCCAGGAAAGGATCCCGACGATGGCCTTGCAGTGCCAGCACTTTGGCATAAGAGGCGCACTCTTCAGCATTTGGGTCCCGGGCCTTTCAGGGACCCGGAGGCAGCAAGCCCAGCAATCTCCTCTGGGCCTGAAAGTGAACAGGCTCCCCCGGATTTCTTAAGATGCATTCCCAGCAGGCAGCACACACGTCACACACCCTGAACAGCTCTGCCGATCAGCCCTCCAGCCACGGAAGGGCAGTGGAGGAAGCCGGATTTTCCATCACCACCGCAGAGGAGGCTCCATAAAGGGCTCCTGCGTGTGTCCAGTCACACTTGCCCTGTGTGTCCCCCACACAAACTCCGGGAGCCTCTCAGTACTTGCTTCCACAGAGCAGCTGGGCAATGGAGAGACCCTCCCCTGCCTGAGACCCTACTAGGCACAGCAGAGAGGACCAGGTGGGATGAAGATGTGGCCTGAACTGCCGCAAGGCCTAGTTGCCTGTCCACCCGCCCGGCACTTCCCGATCCCTTCTCCTGAAGATGCTGTGGCTTGGGCCTGGGGCTGCCGCCTGCAGGGGCTCCACTCCGCCCCTAAGCTCTGGTCCCTCCTGAAGCACTGTTCCCGAGCAGCAAGTCCGAAAAGCAAAGCCCAAAGACACCGAGGGAGAACCAGGTGTACCTGGGTACACGCACAATGGGGCTGTTATGCTTGCACAAACCCAGACTAAAGCATTCATGTCCAGATTCTTCATTTCTGAATTTCAAGTTTGTGTGATTTCCTTTAAACAAAAAGAAAGTTTCTAAATTCAGAATCCACAAATTTGGCATTGCTTGCATTACCAGCTTCTGCGCCTAGTTTCTGTGCTTGGGTAGGGTTACGCACATGCCTTTGTCAAGAGTGTGCAGTAAGGCAGAGGCTGAAATCCAGCTTCCACTGCCACAAAATCCAAAATCCTGCAAGTGGACTAGATGGTAGGGATGTGGGTTCTCTGCAGAAATGCATTTTTAAAGTAAGTTTCTGGCTCTTAATGCTGAAAAGTTAGTTTTGGTAAGAAGTAAGAAATGCCTGCGGAGATCTTGCAAGTTATTCCTTGGAAGTGCTGCTGCAAAGCGGAGTGGGCCTTGGGTCCTGCTGCCCCTGCCCTTCCCCAGCCTCACAGGCTCTTCTCACCTTCTGGGGATGGCGGAGGAACAACCCGCAGGATCTGCTCGATCTGATGGACTGTGGACGTGCCTGGGAACAGCGGCTTCCCCAGAAGCATCTCCCCCAGGATGCAGCCGATGCTCCACATGTCCACGCCCTTGGTGTAGCTGCAGGGAAGAAAGGAAGGGCGGAAAGCAGGGGCCCCTGCCTGGGACCGGCATGGAGGCGGCGCACGGTGGCGCTCAGGTGGCGGAGGGCGAGGGTGTTGCGTGTGGCTCCCCTACTTCTTTGCGCTACTGTGCAAAGCCCTTCTGCGCCCCTCCTTTCAGTGGTGATGTGCGTCCTCACCTGCCTTGCCCACATTTGCTTAAACATGCCACAAGGTGTTAATAAAGGAGAGCACCAGGGTTTGTGGGGTGGCCAAAAAGCGTCCCTCGGCTCACCTCTGGGTGGGATCCAGGTCAGCTATGGAGCCCAGGGCCGACCGGGTGCAGAGACCTGGCATAGCCGCCAAGGCTGCTGCGCGCTGAAGGGAATCAGGTCTGCCCCCGGAAATTGCTGCAGGGCCAAGTGAGGGAAGGGGGCACATGAGAGGAGCCCCCCAGCAAGTGGTGCCTGACCAGGGGCTAGCTAGAAGGGCCCCCTCCCTCACCAAGACATCGGAGGGATGACGAAATCTAGCAAAACATTCGCATCCTCCTCCCCCCGCCCACTCAGGAGAGGTACTCAGTGCCCTTGTGGATTACTGAGGGAAAAGGTCACCCCGAGAATAGCACCCCTTTCTCCCACCTCACCCAAGTCTGGAAAATTTGTGAAAGAGTCGGGGAGGGGAGGAAGAGCAGCCCTGCCCTTTGCTCTCCATGGGGACTTCCAGGGGTCTGAGGACCCCTCTTGAATGCAAGCAGCTCATGCCCCTAGAAAGGCGATGGGGAGAAAGGAAAAGGCAGCCCCCCGACTGCTCCTCATCAGAACTCGAACACTCAACTCCCTTACCTGTGAGAGGCAAGCAGGATCTCGGGAGCCCGGTACCAGCGAGTAGCTACATACTCGGTGAGAGCAGCGATCCCCTGCTCTTTGTGGAGCTGGCACAGGGAACGCGCCAGTCCAAAGTCACACAGTTTAACAAAGCAGTCAGCATCCAGCAGGATGTTGGAAGGCTGCAATTGGAAAGGGGAAAAGAAAGGGGGAGCCCACCATCATGCCCAGGTGGTGCAAGGAGCCAAGTGTCCGGTCACAAGTGCGTCAGTGAGGGCTCGGCTCCAGTCCCTGTGCAGCCACACATGGCGCCGAGTGATGGTCCCGAGCCCATTTCCCTCCTTCCCTGCCTCTCATTCCCTCTCTTTGAGGCTGACCCACCTCACAGGGGGGTGGAGAGGATAATTAAGCAACCCGGAGCTGCGATAAGAAGTTCCTCAAGAGGGCTTTCCACCAAAACATGCAGGGGCAGCATGGCCTGCCTGGCCAGGACTTACATACTCCAACAAAGCAGGGCCCCACACTAGTCTCTAAAAGCAGAGGAAGTAAACGAGGGCACAGCGAGAACGAGCCTCAGTGTTTCCACACCAGTGCCCAGAGGATGGGAAACAAGCAACACGGACCTGAGCTCATAGGACGCGAGGGCAATTACGATCGTATAGGAATAGCTGAAACGCGGTGGGATGACCCACATGACTGGAACTCTACAACTGATGGAAAAATTGTATAAGGAAAAACAGAAAGGACAAAAACGGAGGTGGAGTCGCGCTATATGCAAGAGACACACATCTCTGCAAAGAAATACAAGAAGAGGAACAATTGAAAGCATCTGTCTTAATTTAAAGGGAGCAAAAAATAAGAAAAGCATAGTTGTTGGCATCTGTTACTGACTACCCAGTCAAAAAGACCTTTGAAAAGCAACTTGCCAGATATTTCCAAGAATGATTTAGTCATCATGGGGAACTTCAATTTCGCCCCTCCAACAAAATGAGAGACAAATTCTGTCAAGTATAGCCCCTCCAAGAGATTCCTGACATGCTTTGCCAGCAACTTTCTCCAGCAGAAAGTAGAGGAAGGTACAAGAGGATGAGCGATCCTCAATTTAATACTAACACGAATGGGCTGATGGACAAAGTAAGAAGCATGGAAACTCTGTGGGAAAGTGACCGTGTGATACTTGAATTCTTGTTTATAAAGGAGACAAAGGGGAACTGGAGCCAAACAAGCATCCTGGACTTCAATTCCATCAAGCAAAAAGTGTAGAAGGCAGCAGAGGAAGCCCACGTGGTTCCACACAAAGTTAAGTGCCAGCCTGAAAGGAAAAAAGGGCATGCACAGGAAGTGGAAGCAGGGCCAGGCCACAAAGGAAGAGCATAAACAAATAGCAAGAAAGATGCAGAAAAAGTAGAAATGGTCCAGAGGAGGGCAAGAAAAAAGATCCAGGGTGTGGAAACACTGCCCTGTGAGGAAAGGCTGAGAGAACTGGGCAGGTTCAGCCTTGAGAAGAGAAGACTGAGGGGGGACATGATATCCCTCCGTAAGTACCTCAAAGGCTGCCACAAAGAGGAAGGTTGAGATCTCTTCTTGCTGTCACCAGAGTGTAGGACATGGAATAATGCCTACATTATTAGGGTTTTAAATGTTTTAAGATTTTTTTCCTTCCCCACAGTCACATTTTCTATGCTTTTCCTCCCTTTTCTTTTTTCTTAGTTTATGATGTCTTGTTTTATATTGTTTTAGTAATTGTGGTTTTATTACTGTATTACTGTAATTTTATATTATGCAAGCCATCCTGAGCGCTTGTCGGAAGGATGGGATATAAATGTAATAAATAATAATCAAGTCAAGCTGCAACAACCCAGATTCAGGCTAGATATTAGGAAGAGCTTCCTCACTGTCAGAGCAACATGACAGTGGATCCAGCTGCCCGGAGAGGTGGGGGGCTCTCCCACACTGGAGACAATAAAAAAGAAACTGGACGGCCATCTGAGTGGGATGGTGTGACTTGGTGTCCTGCAAGAGCAGGAGGGTGGACCCGATGCCCTTCATGGCCCCTTCCAACTCTGCCATTCTATGGTTCTGTAAAATGTGATGAAATGCCTGGAACAAGGGAGGAAACATACACAAATGTCCAGCAGACACTGGCAGCCCAGCCCAGCACACACTCTTTCTCCTGTCTGTCTCCTTAAATTCATTAAGTTAGAAGAGGCAAATCGTTCCCCCACATACCTTCTGGTCCCTGTGAATGACATTTCCAGAGTGGATGAATTTGGTGGCTTTCAGGAGCTGATACAAAATGTAGCACTTGTGAATATCTTTCAGTAAATTCCCTTTCTTGATCACTGCATGCAAGTCAGTCTCTGAAACAGGAACATTACGAAGGAGCAGTGGGTCCGTTGCACCACATTAGCCACGCGGCCCTGGCCCATCATGCACAAGGCCTGCCCTGCCCTGCCCTGCCCTGCCCTGCCCTGCCCTGCCCTGCCCTGAGAGCTCCACCTCGTGCTTCTACGCACAGCAGGTCGCAACATTCCTGTTAGACCGGTATGACAGTAGAGCCAGTGACCTGGAGAGGGTGTGGGCTCTCCCACACTGCAGGCATTCAAGACGCAGCTGGACAGCCCTCTGAGAGGGACGGCTTAATTGGGAGCGCCGTCCTGCGCGGGGCGGGGGGGGTGGACCTGATGGCCCTCCGGTCCCTTTCGGCTCTACCATCCTATGATTCCATTAAAGGTCGGGAAGTAGAGGCACCAGCAGCACTGCTCGACCTCTCAGGTTATCGCCCTTTGTAAACCCAAACCTCCCACTCCCCTTTCTTTTCTGATTGCTGACATTCACACTGCTCAGGCTGCACTCAAACTATTCTTCAGTTCCACTGTTTTCACTTTTCCCTCTCCTCTTCCTTCCTCCCGACTTCTCGTCATCTAGGCCACTTTCACAGGTTTTCCTCCAACTCAGACTAGCTGCTTTTGCCCCACGTTCAAATGAAAGGAAGGGATGTGCGGCAGCAGGGAAAGGCTCACCCATGGACTCAAAGACCAGGTAAATGTCCTTGTCGTTCTGAGCCCGGATGACGTTCAGGAGTCGGATGATGTTGGGATGCTCTCCAAATTCCTGAAATAAGAGCTGCCAATCAAGAACTCTTCAGACACCCACAGTCTGAAGAACAAGGCAGCCACGTAACCACGAAGAGTCTACTGCGCCCGGGCAGAGGCAGAGAAGGCAGTCAGTGCTCATGCGCTGAAGTTATCGTGTGCCTCCTCTTCACCTGTGCCGCGACTGTACGGAGTTCTCTGATACTCACCTGCAGCAAGGGAAGCATTTTCCAACCCGGCATCTAACAAGCTTATCTCTCTACAAGTCCCTCCAAGGCTGCCCCAAAGAGGGAGGTCAAGAGCTCTTCTTGCCGATGCCAGAGCGCAGGACGCGGAAGAATCAACTCAAGTTGCGACAACCGAGATTCAGGCTGGACATCGGGAAAAGCTTCCTCACTGTCAGAGCAACATGACAGTGGAACCAGCTGCCCGGAGAGATGGGGGGCTCTCCATTCAAAAAGACACTGGACCATCATCTGAGTGGGACTTGGTGTCCTGCAACAGCAGGGGGTGGGACTTCTTGGCCCCTTCCACCTCTACTATTCTATGATTCTAAACAAACTTTCTCGACAGAATCATTAGGGCACGTTACTGAGATTCCTACCCTGTTTTGCAGTCAGTCAACTATGCATCTAAAATCAAATGTTGGTACAAAAACACTGAAAGATTCATATAGAAAATCAAAGTTATCAGCTGAGGGAAGAGTTCATTAATCACTTCAAGATCTCTATCAACAATGGAAAAGTAGGCATGTCATGTGCGGGACCAGCCAGAGCCAGGGGTCAGACTAGATGGCCCAGAAGACCTCTTCTGACTCACTGTTTCTATGTTTCTGCATTCAGTTTCTTCTTCAGCAACCAGAAACACGGCAATCCTACCAGAATTAATTTAGACTGAATCTGGCTACAACTTATTGTAACCCTAAAACCTACCTTGCCCTGGGCGATTCTCAATCTTTTGCCACAAACCCAGGCAAATAGCTCTCGGATCAGAGTCTTCCCGCACTTAGGGCGACCACATTCATTATGGCCGAGCTCAGCCCATTCCCAGCATCTCACTGCCTTCCTGATGGTTCCTAGGCTGCCTCCTAGGAACAAAATCCCGCAAGCCCCAAACCCTCCTCGCTGTTTGCGTTCGGTTAGGGACCGGGATAAGCATGTTCGCCGAGCATTTTGAGAAGCTTCCACCGGATTCCTGAAGACAAGCCGCCCGAGCGCCGGGCCGAGCTCGATCCCCCGCGACTCCTCGGCCGGGCGCTGCCCGTCCCGGCGGCCACGCCGGCTCGGCAGCCCGGGAGGAAGTCGCCGCAGGCGCGCGCTGGGGACGCAGGGCGGCGGCATCGCGCCCGCCCGCCCGGCCAGGCGAGGAGGGCCCCGCTCACCTGGAGGAACATGATCTCCCGGAAGGTCCTCTGAAAGGAAGCACAGGCGGGCTTCAGGCGGCGGCCGGCGGGGTCGCCGCCCCCCGCAGCCCCGGGACCCGCGGAGCCCTCGGCACCGCCCCGCCCGCGCGGCCCCACCTGCGCGTCGGTGCGGTTCCGGAAGGCGTCGAAGATCTTCTTGACGGCCACGACGGCGCCGGTCTTGCGGTCCACCGCCTTCCACACGATCCCGTAGGCCTGCAGGGAGCGCGGGTCGGGTCGGGTCGGGTCGGGTCGGGTCGGGTCGGCGCGGCCCGCCGGAGGCTGCCGGGGGCGCCCGCCGCGCCCTCGCCCTCGCCCTCGCCCCCGCCCAGGCCGTCCGCCTACCCCCTTGCCGAGGCGCCGCTTGATCTCGTAGCGCCGCGCGACCTGCTCCTCCACCTCGGCCGCCGCGCTCATCCCGCCCGGCCGGTCGCCGCCTTCGTGCGGGCGGCGCGGCCAGTTGACCGCGGCTGCCATGGAGACGCCGCCGGCCGCCCGGCCCTGCGCACGCGCGCCCGCGGGACACTCGGGCGCCTCCGCCCGGCAGGGGGC